GGGGCCCCGTGGGGGAGGGGGGGGTCGTGCCTGCTTAGGGCAGAATGAGATCCTGGGTGTTGTCACCTCCCAGGATCATTGTCAGGACTTGAAGAGATCATTTGTCTCATGAATCCTGGCACTGTGTGCCAGGCTCTGCTCGGGGTTCAGTGCCGGCGGTCTTCCCTCCAGGGACTGCTGTTGTGAGCGAAACAGACAATACACAAGAAAACAACCTTCGGGCTGGATGGATAGAGCTGGGGCCAGCACCATTTGCTCTGCTGCAAGTGAGATAGAGCAGCGGGGACTGGTCTGATTGGGGGGGGGGTCAGACAAGACCTGTCACAGGAGAAGCAGGGAGGGTGGCGAAGGCAAAAGCCCTGAGGAGGGGACAGTGTGCTGAGCTCAGGAACGAAAAGGTCATGGCCGCAGAGGCCTCGGGAGGAATGCGGGGTGAAGTCAGGGTGCCAGTCATGAGGCTCAGTGTCCTGTGATGGGGGCATTTGAGGGTTTTAGACAGAGAATTGACAAGATACTGTTGATGTTTTTAAAAAAGATCACTCTGGGCCTGGTGTGGTGGCTCACGCCTGTCATTGCAACACTTTGGGAGATGGAGGCTGAAAGGACAGACCGAGAGTGGGAAGCCATTTTTCATCTTGTTCTTAAACCCTGACACAATGATGAGAAAGTAGAAACTATGCTATTGGAGAAATGCACACTTTAGGTATAATTAACTTTACCAACTTTGTCTTTTCAGAAACAGACTTCCAGGTATCAGAGGTATCTCATAGTGTCAATCAAGCTTGCCTAGAGTGAAGGGAATTTACAAGGCCTAAGACATCATGCATTGGGCAAGGACTGTAAAAGTCATGAAACTTGTAGTTACAAAAGTTATGACCACTCAGAGGGAGAGCAGGTGGGGATTCAATCTTCCAGTAAATTGGGCACTCTCTACAGGGAAGCCAAAGATCCCCCAAAGCTACCCACTGGGAATGCCTAGGACATAGAAGGAGGTGCACTCTCCACTAACTCAGGAACATCATTTGGGAAGGTGCAGGAGCATTAGAATCCTTGTCACGCCCTTCTCTAGGGGCTATGATAATGTGGGCGAACATTAATGAGTCTCTGTGTCACAGAATCTCCAAGATATTCAAAGGTGGTGGATAAGGAAGTCACGCACAGTCACGTGCAGTCATGTGCAACATCTCCAAAGAAAGGAATTAAGACAGGACTCTGGGGGGCTACGACGCCACACTCACCTAGAGTGTAGGCCCACTCCCTGTCTGTTGGGGGGTGAACTTTTCTTAAATAAATCTTTTCTTCTCTTACCTCTGTGTGCCGCAATTCTCTGGCTTGCCAGTGGGTACCTCCAGCTTGCCAGCCCTGGCAGTGCTGCGTGCCTCCCCTCGCCTCTCCACCCTCACTCTGTCCCTGCTGTACCCTAACAGAGGCGAGAGGATTGCCTGAGCCCAGGGGTTTGAGACCAGCCTGGACAATTTGGCAAGACCTTGTCTCTACAGTAAATCAAAAATTAGCTGGGTATGGTAGTATGTACCTGTAGTTCCAGCTACTTGGAAGGCTGAGGCGGAAGGATCGCCGGAGCCCAGCAGGTCAAGGCTGCAGTGGCCGGGAGCGGCCACTGCACTCCAGTCTGGGTGACAGAGTGAGACTCCAACTCAAAAACAAAAAGGAAAGCTACTTTCTGGAGGGTGTGGTCACACCTATAATCCCAGTACTTTAGGAGGGCCAGGCAGGAGGATGGCTCGAGTCCAGGAGTTCAAGACCAGCTTGGACAACATAGCAAGTCACTGTCTCCGCAAAAAAATTTTAAAATTACCTGGATATGGTTCCACACACCTATAGGCCCAGCTACCCAGAAGGCTGAGGGAGGAGGCTTGCCTACCATAGAGCAAGAACAGATACATTTATTTGACTCCAAGGGAAGAGAAGATGCTCAGCTCAACAAGTCCACAGTAATTACTTTATTTGAAACCTGTTGTTCCAGCCCAGGAGGTGAAGGCCTTAGCT